ACCCCACCCATTCTGGCATACCCAATAAACCAGGATTGAGCATAAGTAAGGTTTATTGTGAGCAAAGGTAAGGTTTATTTTGGGTTGAGGAAAAATAAGTTTTTTTGTGAAAAGGTGAGCCAGGCATTGTGGCATACCCAATAAACCAGGGTTGAGCAAAAGTGAGGTTTATTCTGAATCGGGACCCCAGCCATTGTGGCATAGCCAATAAACCAGGCTTGAGCAAAAGTAAGTGTTATTGTGAGGTGGGGCCCCAGCCATTGTGGCATACCCAATAAACCAGGTATGAGCAAAACTAAGGTTTATTGAGACATGGGCTTACCCAATAAACCATGTTTGAGGAAAAGTAAAGTTTATTGTCAGATGGGACCCCACCCATTCTGGCATACCCAATAAACCAGGATTGAGCAAAAGTAAGGTTTATTGTGAGCAAAAGTAAGGTTTATTTTCGGTTGAGGAAAAGTAAGGTTTTTTGTGAAAAGGTGAGCCAGGCATTGTGGCATACCCAATAAACCAGGCTTGCGCAAAAGTAAGGTTCATTGTGAATTTGGACCCCAGCCATTGTGCCATACCCAATAAACCATATTTGAGCCAAAGTAAGGTTGACTGTGAGATGGGCATACACAATAAACCAGTCTTGATCAAAAGTAAGCTTTATTGTGAATTGGGACCCCAGCAATTGCGGCATAACCAATAAACCAGGTTTTAGTGAAGGTAAAGTTTATTGTGAGTTGCACTTACCCAATAAACCATGTTTGAGGAAAAGTAAGGTCTATTTTCAGATGGGACCCCAGCAATTCTGGCATACCCAATAAACCAGGGCTGAGCAAAAGTAAGGTTTATTGTGACATGGAACCCCAGCCATTGTTGTATACCCAATAAACCAGGTTTGAGCGAAAGTAAAATTTATTGTGAGTTGCGCTTACCCAATAAACCATGTTTGAGGAAAAGTAAGGTCTATTGTCAGATGGGACCCCAGCCATTCTGGCATACCCAATAAACTAGGCTTGAGCAAAAGTAAGGTTGATTGTGAATTTGGACCCCAGCCATTGTGGCATACCCAATAAACCAGGATTGAGCAAATGTAAGGTTTATTGTAAGCAAAAGTAAGGCTTATTGTGGGTTGAGCAAAAGGAAGGTTTATTGTGAGATGGACATACACAATAAACCAGTATTGATCAAAAGTAAGCTTTATTGTGAATTCGGACCCCAGCCATTGTGGCATACCCAATAAACCAGGCTTGAGCAAAAGTAAGGTTTATTGTGAGATGGGCTTACCCAATAAACCATGTTTGAGGAAAAGTAATGTTTATTGTGAGATGGGACCACAGCCATTGTGGCATACCCAATAAACCAGGCTTGAGCAAATGAATGGTTTATTGTGAGATAGGCATACCCAAGAAACCAGTCTTGAGCAAAAGTAAGGTTTATTGTCAGATGGGACCCCAGCCATTGCTCCACACCCAATAAACCAGGGTTGAGCAAAAGTAAGCTTTATTGTGAGATGGGACCCCAGCCATTGTGGCATAACCAATAAACCAGGGTTGAGCAAAAGTAAGCTTTATTGTGAGATGGGCATACCCAAGAAACCAGGGTTGAGCAAAAGTAAGGTTTATTGTGAGATGGGACGCCGGCCATTATTGCATACACAGTAAAGCAGGGGTGAGCAAAAGTAAGGCTTAGGGTGAGATGGGAAGCCAGGCATTGTGGCATAACCAATAAACCAGGATTGAGGAAAAGTAAGGTTTATTGTGAATTGGGACCCAGCCATTGTGGCACACCCAATAAACCAGACTTGAGCAAAAGTAAGGTTTATTGTTGGTGAGCAAAAGTAAGGTTTACCTACCTTGGTGAGCAAAAGTAAGGTTTATTGTGAGATGGGAAGCCAGGCATTGTGGCATAACCAATAAACGAGGGGTGAGGGAAAGTAAGGTTTATTGTAAATTGGGAGCCCAACCATTGTGGCATACCCAATAAACCAGACTTGAGCAAAAGTAAGGTTTATTGTAAGCAAAAATAAGGTTTATTGTAAGCAAAAATAAGGTTTATTGTGAGATGGGAACCCTGCCATTGTGGCATACCGAATAAACCAAGTTTGAGCAAAAGTAAGGTTTATTGTGAGATCGGCATACCGAATAAACCATGTTTGAGGAAAAGTAACGTTTATTGTGAGATGGGACCCCAGACATTCTAGCATACGCAATAAACCAGGATTGAGCAAAAGTAAGGTTTATTGTGAGATAGGCATACCCAATAAACCATGTTTGAGGAAAAGTAACGTTTATTGTGAGATGGGACCCCAGCCATTCTAGCGTACCCAATAAATCAGGATTGAGCAAAAGCTAAGGTTTATTGTGAGATGGGCCTACCCAATAAACCATGTTTGATGAAAAGTAAGGTGTATTGTGAGATGGGACCCCAGCCATTCTAGCATACGCAATAAACCAGGATTGAGCAAAAGTAAGGTTTATTGTGAGCAAAAGTAAGGTTTATTTTGGTTTGAGGAAAAGTAAGGTTTATTGTGAAAAGGGAACCCAGCCCTTTTGTCATACCCAATAAACCAGGGCACCCATTTTGCCTTTCAGCTGCCTGCTCTTGAAACCACCCCAAACGCAAAAAAAAGAAAAAAAGAAAAAAAATGGCCCCAGTTATGATGGGCCTCTGGGGTCCTCCAAGGGATTCTGGATCACAATCCTTGCACTTCTATTGTACAGGCACAACTTACGCCCTGAGGTCAGTCACTCTCCAGTTTATAACTGGGGGAAAAGACACTGGGGATATCACTAGGTTGCCAGAAAAACATGATGTTGCAGAACAAATTACAGGAGTACCTAATAGCTTGCTGATCTGGCATCCCATTCCCAGAGTATCTATCTAAAAAACTTGGAAAACATCAGCAGTAATTAAGTTTCCCTGCAGCGGGACTGGTCTTTCCCCCCCCCCGATTGATTGAAAATGGCCTGTATAGCATCTGTGCAATTTCTGCCTCGCTGCCTCCCTTTCTAAGTCCTATGCGTTAGCCCAGTGCTAGGACATCTAGCTGGGGGATCAGAGATCCATCCACATCCCATTCATGGCTGGAGAGGAAGTCATGTTTCAATGCAACTAGCACACCCATGTGGAAAAAAGTGAAGCAACTAAGAGCTCAGAATCTGATCTCACACTAATTTCTGGGGTTGTCTGTGGTAGCAAAAAATCAGGAGTCTGGTAGCACCTTTTCCAACTCATACATTTTACTAAAAGACATACATTTTGTGATTTGTAAAATGAAAGAAGATGGGAAGAATATGGGAAGAACCATGTCCCTTGACTCCAGCAAGTTCTCTCTGAGTAGAAGTGTCTTTCTATCAGAACAGCAGAACAGCTTGTTCTGAAGCTGCTTTTATTTTGCTAGGCAATATTTTTACACTAATATATGTTAATGCCATATTATTTCCCATTTTTCCCCTGGGAGCATAAGGCAACATACATAGTATTTCTTTGATTTTTTTCCAGCACAACTCTGCAGTTTATGTAGGGCTAAGTTTTAACAATAATAATAATAATAGTGATTGACCCAAAGTGGCCTTAAGAGCTTTCATGGCTAAGAGTGGATTCAGACCTGAATCTTCTCAGTCATAGGCCAATGCTAGGGACACATGTGGTTTATATATACTGTAGTACAAATACTGTAATATAAAACCATTATCAAGGGGGTTCTTTATTTCCCCCCTTCCATATGGATATATTGTTATTATATATATATTCTTTTCAACGTATTGTCTTCAGTGTGCCTTTTGTAATCCACTTTGAGATGTTTCTGTATAGGAAGTGGTATAAAATATCTTAAAGAAAAATATAGCATAATAAAGTTAGGATGAATGAGAAAGAAGAATACATTTATTTGACTGGCAGCCAAAGACCAAAAGAAGAACCAGAAACTCTTTGTACTTAACCGGATACTTTAGACCGAAGACTGTATTAAAATATATACAGTCAGTAAATACATTTATCAAGGCAACTGTACTATGAAACACTGAGCAGAATTTGACAACCATGCGGAAGATCATGGATGAGATGAGAAACCTGTTGGCAGTGAGTGGTTTTCCCATCTGATCTACCCTGGCTATAAATTAAAAAAAGGGGTCATTATGGTCGTTTGGCAAGTTGAATAGAAAGCACAATGCAAAAATACATACAAGGCTGACTCTACGGGTAGTCCTCACTTAAGGGTGGTAATTGGGACTGGCAACTCTGTCACTAAGCGATGCGGTCATAAAGTGGACCATCATGAAAACGCCCTGACTTACAACGGCAGTTGTGGCAGTCCCAGTTGTCCTCGTTATGCGAATCCCACATGGTCGCAGCATCTCACGGTCACATGATCACAAAACACTATTTAGTAAAGGTGTGCAACCATCTCTCGGTGTGATTGGGCATGCTTGGTCCGGGACAGGACAGTCTGCCATCGACCCAGCCCAGTTTCCTGCATTTTTTGCTCAGTGCAAACTTTACACGCGTCTCCGAGCTGGCGATTTCCCTACGGATCGCTTCCATGTAGGATTTATATAATTAGTTTAACTTTCTGTCCCGTAGCCAGATGGGGGACTCCACTGCTTACACCTCACAGGGTTGTTGCTGTCCAATTGCGTGTCAGACTGACGTGAGAGTGAGACCCCTCGCTTCCTCACGCTTGTCATCCTTTTTTCTTAACGTTTTATGTCTTATTGGTGGCACTGCAATTTCTGTCTTGGGTTGTGGCGCGCCGCCCAGAGTCGCTGAGAGTCGGGCGGCACACAAGTTTAATCAATAACAGTAATGATAATGATCACGCTTGCCTGTCCCGGTTGGGCTAGCCTTGAGGAGGCCCGCGTCCTAGTCCACCCTCAGCTGCAGAAGCTCCCTGCCGGCCTCTGGCCTACCTCGCGGGGCCGTTGTGAAGGCGGCGCCGGGCCGCCTCGCGGTCCTGCAGCGGCGTCACGTGCTCCTCCCTCACGCCCGCCCCGTCCCTGGCCGCGCAGGCGCCCTGCCATTGGCCAGGGAGCGGCCAATCGGTGCGGGCGCGACGCGACGCGATGGCTGCCGGGCGGCTCTGGCTACTGCTCCCGCTGCTGCTGCTGCTCTGCGACGGGGCCCTTCCGCGGGGCCCTTCCGTGGGGCCGCGCTACTCGCCCGACTGGGCCAGCCTGGACGCGCGGCCGCTGCCGGGCTGGTTCGACGCCGCCAAGTTCGGGGTCTTCGTGCACTGGGGCGTCTTTTCGGTGCCGGCCTGGGGCTCCGAGTGGTTCTGGTGGCACTGGAAGGCCGAGCACCGGTCCGACTACGAGCGCTTCGTCAGCACGCGCTTCCCGCCGGGCACCACCTACGCCGACTTCGCCCCGCGCTTCTCCGCCGCCGACTTCCAGCCCGAGCAGTGGGCGCAGCTCTTCCAGGAGGCCGGTGCCAGGTCAGCCCCGCGCCTCGCGTCCCATCATCCCCAGCCGCGCGAGCCTTCGGGGAGAGGCAACCGGAAGTCCGGCGGCTGCACACCGGGCCTTCCCCGATCCGTGTCTCCGCCGCTGACGGGGGCCTTTTTGCAAACGGTTGATCGTTCCGTGCTGCTCCCCGTTCCAGATTGCCGTTTACCTTCAAGCTTTCCGTGGCTTCCTTGACGGCGATGCCCCGCTGAAGCCTGTTGGGCAGAGTTCACTGGCGCGGGCCGCCCTCCGTCTGCAGCGGTAGGCCGTGACGGTGCGCAGCCTGTCCGCACCGCTGCATCCTAGAGACGCGGGTCAGAACGGCGGGATGCTCCGGCCCAGACAGCAGCATCTGAAGTATATTCTGTGAAATTCGGGATGTGGGGAGAGTCATCCCTTTAGATGCCCGTTGAAGGCAGCGGTACAAATCCATGGCAGACGAGCCTCTCCTGCGTTCCCCTTATGCCAGTGTTGTCCAACCTTGGCCACTTTAAGATGAGTGGACTTCAACTCCCAGATTTCCCCAGCCAGCCATGCT